GATCAAATCCCCCTCTTCCCCTGCCCCGGTTATCAGGGCCACTCATGCTCCGGTTCTCTCCTGGTCCGGAAAATCCTCCAGACTCCTGCCCATAAACACCCATGCTACTGGGGTGGTCCTGTCTGAATGAACTCTGCTGCCCGTAGCTGCTGCTCTGTTGACTATATTGACTTGGAGCCTGGCTGTAGGATCCAGTTTGGGGGGGGGGGGTTAACTAGTGGGTGGCTGCTGTCCATAGCTGCTTGGCTGCCCATAGCTACTCTGCTGTCCGTAGCTGCTTGGTTGTCCGTAGGTGTTCTGCTGAGAGTAACTGCTTTGATCATAGCCAGTTGGTTGTGAAGAGGAATAGCTGGTAGGTGGGTAGGACGGAGGTGCGCTGACTGGCTGCATGGGGTAGCTCCCAGGTACCTGGGGATAACTGTAGTTACTTTGTCCATACCCCATGCTGGGCTGGTTGTAACCTCCTGTGCTAGACTGAGGCTGGCTTGTTTCAGCAGGCTTGCTACCATCTTGTGGTCTTGCAGGTGCGGTGGCTGCTGGTTGCTGCCCATACGTTGGATAGGCAGGCTGAGTACCATATGCAGACTGAGCTGCATAGGAGGCCTGGGTTGTGGTCACTGTAGCAGTGGTGGTATCGTAAGCACCAGTGCCATACCCCTGGACAGGCTGGCTGTAGGCCTGGGGGGCAGCTGGAGTACTATAACCAGTAGGAGGCTGTCCATAAAAAGTTGCATAGGCAGTCTGCCCATAGGTTGCAGTGGTCTGAGCCTGAGTATAGCTGACATCAGTGGGCTGTCCATAGGTTCCGTAACTTTGTTGCCCATATGCCTGTGTGGTCTGCGCATATCCTTGAGTGGGCTGGGCAGTGTAGGCACTGTAGCCCTGCTGGGCTGCAGCTTGGCTGTAAGTACTGTAATCCGTGGACGCCATTTTCTTGCCTTCCTCCTCGTTCTCTCAACGTCCGTCTCCCTCTCGCTTTTCCTCTAGGCCCGCACTGCCCACCTTTATTATTCTTATTCTTCTGACCGTCCTAGAATTTGAAATAGCCTTAATTTAAGCCTACATTTTCACTCTACTAGTCAGCTTATACTTACACAATGACACCTAATAACCCACCATACCCTCACATATCACACTTTGAAGGCATCTATCAACAAAAAATGTTTTATGAGTTTTGTTGTAACTCAGCCGTGCCCATTAATGTACATATTATCTATGGTTGTTTTTATGCTCTGAGGGTATTATATTTGTAAGATAGACAGTATAGTATGATTGGATAAAGATTTTTTTAAAGAGTACATATCTGTTTAAAAAAATAGCTTGCTGATTTGTGTTTAAAACTTTAGAGAGAAAAGCATCTAAAAAAATCTGAGCCAACTACAAAATCATTGTTAACCTCATGGTTATTAGGGTAGAACTGGGCTCCAAAAGATTTTTCTGTGACTGATTTCTCAGTAGATCACCAGATCTCTCTTCTGAGGTGCCGTTGGGTGGACTCAACTCCCAACTTTTCATTTAGTAGACAAGCACTGTGACTGTTTGTCCCACTCAGGGACTCCAGAGAGAAAAGTATCTTCCTGAAATTGAAGTATGAGCACTGAAGAAGTGAATGTCAAAGTCACAGTCTTCACATGTTTTCACAACTCCTCACCCCAGGAAGACTCTTTCATTGGAGCTCTAGTGACTTAGTATATAGTGAATTGTGTTGCTAACTCAAAAAGCATCAAGTCTCTGGTGGTTCAAATCCCCTAGTGTATTCAAGGGTGAAAGCTGGGCAATCTCTACCCTTTAGGTTTTTTCAGCATCAGAAACCAATTGAAGCATCCTTATGAGTCAGGATTGACTTCACAATAGTAACTGAGTGAAGATGAAACAAAAAAAGAAAGAAACAGGAAATCTGTGAGATATGGCAGCGTAGTGTAATGCAGCCATTGCCTTAACTTCCGCAGTTAGGAGGCCAGGGTGGAGTCCTGGTGCCATGGCAAGTCATGTGTTGAATTGATAACTGCAAGATCAGCTGATGGAGTCCATCAATCAGAAGTTTGTTTCCATAAAGATTTACAGTTTCAGAAACTCAGTTGAGGGTCTCAATGAATCAAAATGGACTTGACAGCAGTGTGCTTAGTTTTTTTTAATTTAGGGGATCAGGTAATTGTCTAAAAGCAATGTGGTGAGTGTTTCTTGTTGTTATATGCCAGCTAATCACTGGCCTTTCAGTGGGTTTTCAGAAGCTAAATCTTACAGGAGGAGATGGCCCCCTTTTTCTCCTCTAGAGTAGCCTGCCTTTGGTTGGCAAGACAACTGCTTACCTCTCTCCTTCATAGTTCTCTCGAGGGAGAGAAGGAAACAAAAGTAATACTTTGAGTTTTCCTTTGAGCTTTGTCATTGTACATAGTTATTATGGGAGAGGTGGACAACATTATAGTGGGTGTTTAATGTGGCTTAAATGTTGGATCTGTTGTGGTTAGTTAGGGATGAAAATGATCAGGATGGAAAGTTGATCAAGATTCTGTCATCAGATTTGGAGATAAGATTAGGATTGAGGATTGCAGAAAACAAATCACCATGATCTTAGGTGGTGTATTAAGAGATTACTTTCTAGGATTAAGGGAGAGGCTGATCAGATTAGTGGACAGAAACTAACAGGATTCACTTTGATAATCAATATTCTGGCTAATTTGTTGATTTTATTAGATATCATTGAGTGACTTGTTATTGTTAAGTGCAGTGAGTCGCAGGCGACTCATAGCGACCCTATGAAGGAGAGTCCTCGATGCTTGGGTGCCTTTCATCCTCTCTCCAGGTTCATATGGTTTCCGGAGGCAAACTATTATGGAAGTGGATGTCACTCCTCCTTCCAAGCTTGTTTTAATCGGGGAGCTCTACCCCACTCTCTGTCCGCATTGAGTAGCCAACCATTAATGCATTTGACACATCAGTGTCACAGTGTTCAGTCTCACAGCAACCAAAAGTGACCATGGTATGGCAACTTGTACACCAGGGCTATACGACCTAGAGGTATGTCTGAATAAAAAGAATGAAAGGTAGGCCCAAAGGCCGCACATTAAAAGCCACCCACCTTTGACTTGGTAGCATCACTTTCTATCCACTGGGCCAGCTGATCTCTCTCGAAGTTTGTTGCTTGAAGCCCTCTGCTGCCTTAAAGCCTAGGCCTAGCCTGGCTTGCCTGACTCCTAGAGGCAGAGTAGTCCTTCGCGTCTGAAAACTGCCACAACACCTGCGCAAACAGTGAGTGACTATAATAGCAACTGTATACATAACAGATAGTAACCTTGTTCTTTCCTGTACCATCTTCACAATCTCTGATGTGCTCAAACTCATTTTTTAGTTACTGTATCCACCTCATTGAGGGTCTTGCTCTCTTTTGCTGACCTTCTACTTTGGCAGAATTTCTTTTTCAAAGAACTTGTCCTTGCCAACATGTTCAAAGTATGGGAGAGAAGTTTCACTATTTTTGTCTCTAAGTAGTACCCTTGTTGCACTTTCTCCAGGACAAATTTGTTTGTTCTATTGGTAGTTCAAAGGATTAGAGGAAGACTCATAAACAACCATTGTGCATATATGCAACCTTGCTCACAGAAAGTGAAGAGAGCTTGAAAAACTTGCTGCAGAAGATCAAAGATTACAGATTTCAATATAAGTTACCATTCAACACCAAGAAAACACTGGACTAATGGACAACATCAAGCTAGATGGAGAAAAGACTGACGTTTTCAATGATTTCATTTTACTTGATTCTGCAATCAGACTCAGGAAAACAGCAGTCAAGAAAGCAAAAAACATGATGCATTGGAGAAATCTACTGTCTAGTATCTGTCTGATGTGATAAACAGCAAGGACATCACTTTAAAGATTAACATGTACCTGAAAATTGGATAATAAATAAGGATGATCCAAGAAGAATTTAAGCCTTTGAATTGTAGTGTGGTGAAGAGTACTGAATATCCTCTGGACTGCCAAAAGAAAAAAATGAGTTTGTCTTGGAGAAAGAGTGCTCCTTAGAAATAAGGATGATGAAACTGCTTCCTACATATTTTAATTTTGTTGTCAGGAGGGATTAGTCCTTGGAAAAAAGACATCATACCATGAAAAAATGGAAGTTCAGAGAATGAGAGGAAGGCCCTCAACAAGACGGATTGAGACAGTGACTGTAACGAGTTTGAGCATATCAAAATGGTAAAGATGGTGCAGGATAGAGCAAAGGTTCAGATCTGTTGTTCAGAGGGTTGCTCTGAGTCATAGTAGACTCAATATTTTAAAAATTATAAAGGAGTACAAGGAAACTTTGTGGATGATGAGCTGTTCTGTATTTTCACTGAAGTAGTGTTTTTTTGTACTATGTATACAATATGCACATATATGAGTAATTTTTCTTTTGTAAAAATTTTTCAGTAGTGCCAATAAGATATCTCATTAGAAATTTTAAAAACAAAGAAAAATAATAACAACATGTGTGGCTCTACAGTTTGGATAATTGTGATCCAAAGTTCTTAAATCATGATATTGCCAACGAGATAACAAATACCCTCCAGCTACCTGGAGCTTATACCCAAATACTTTCTTTCACTTGAATCTGTGTACCATTCAAATAAAAATTTATTATGATGTCAACTACTATGTCACTGAGGTTGATAATTTATGAGAGTGTATGCAAGATTCAAAAATGACATTATATTCTGAAACAGCTTTTAGTAAACAATTGCAAAATATATTCATCATTCTCATTTTTCTGACAGGATTAGGTAAAGATATGGGAAAGATCATAAACAGGAGATGGGCATACTTTTTTTTTTCCAGAAAAGCTGCGGAAATTAAGCAAGTTTGTAACTGAAAGGATTTGGCAGCAGGAGTGGCATCCACTTCCTAAATAGCATGTCTCTGGAAACTCTATGATCCTTGATAAATGTTGATGGTTGTAGAGGGGCTTCATGCCTTTTTTTCATAGGGTCGCTGTGAGTGGTGCTCTACTCAAAGGCAATCAACAACAACCACACAATTGAAAGGAAGCCTTTCACCAGATTTATGATTATAGTAATCACTAAACAGATAATACGAATATTAAATAAAATTTTGTCCGTTTTTGGCTTAGGTCCTGAAACAACAGAAATTAACTCCTCCACATTATACACAAAAAAACCTAGGTCACTCAGAATTACAAAATAGTGTCAAAATACCAGTCTTACAAAGTTTAAGACCTCTTCCACAACCAAGTTATTAGAGCCAACGCTGAAAGAGTTGTCAGCACGCTCTGTATCCAGACTTACCATGAGGAGAGTGTGGAATGTGTTTAAATTAGTCTTTTGGGGAATTTGGAACATGAATAGAGTGCTAGATCAAAGTCACTTCAAAACCTAACCTCAAAGACTCAGTGGAGTCGAATGACCAAAAAGGGGAGTGCCTAACAGAACAGCTGGATGCCACAGTCCAGGATTGTTACAAAAATTATAGCCAAATGTTGCCCCAAATAACCTTTAAGCTTCGCACATCTCTTAGTGAAAAAAGCAGCCACGAAGTCTTACTCAGCCAATTATCATATTTTTAAAAGCAATGCACTCATAAAAACAAAGCATATATCCATAGAGCATGCAGAAGAAAAAGCATGTTTAGTGGTGTTTGGTACCATTGAGTCAAAAAATCGATAGAAAACTTGCCCTATCCTGAACCATCTTCACTATTTCTTTCACACTCAATCACTGTTACAATTACTATGTCAATCCATCACTAAGGGTCTTCCTCTCTTTATCTTAACCTCTACTTTCCCCAGCATTATATCTTTTCCCAAGGATATGATGTCTCCTGACAACATGCTCAAAGTATGTGAGACAAAGTTTCACCATCCTTGACTCTAAGAAGCACTCTGGAGGGGATCCAAGATGGCAGCGGAGGCAGAGACAGCATGGTGAGCTGCGGGAGCAGTGAACCACTTAAAGCAGGGCCATTATGGCCTTTTACAGACTTCAGCTTATTGACAATT